CAAACTAGAATTACATAGTCTTTTGTAACTAAACGCAGCATATCTTAGAGTCAAGCGAGCAGGCAGTTTACCTGATGCTAAATGATTACCGCCGCCCATTGACGTCTGCGACACCTGAGGGGTTGTCGATGCGTTGACAATTTTTAAAAAAGTTGACAAATGTAAAATATCTAATAGCTGTAGAGAATTTTTATAAGTCAGAATTAATATAAAACTTAAAAGTTAAAAAGGTTAGTCAATAGTCATTTATTACTTTTTCCTTTATTTTAACATACTTATATTAAGAAAAGAAACCAGTGGGCGGTTCAGTTAATATTAAACGATAACTGCCACGCATATTAAATAACGAAACAAATAAAACACCTATGTATTTCCAGATATTTATTATAAAGCCAAGCTTTAAAATTGTGAATGCCGGTTCCCTCAGTCATCAGGCGAAGAGCAACAGGCAATTTTAAGAGTGTAGAGTTAGTTTTCTAAACATATGTAATTGTTCACTAAATAAGTAACTTATAACGGTTAAATGTCAGTCTACATCGTTCGAAGTTGGCGGATATGAATCGCCACGCCGTCTGCGCGCCATAAGCAACTTACGCAATTAAACTTCTATACTGTAGATCGACATTGCCTTGCTATATCATGCATATCGATTAAATAACTTACGTTCATGGTCATACGCGGAACTACTTTATAAATAATTCAATAAATAAAAATATTATTAAAAAGCTTCTAAACATTTATGATGAGAATACTTGAAATCATATATTTTAATTGAGGAAATTATTGCATTCGCTTAATTCACATAAGTATACATATATAATAAAATGTATCTTTCATTATGTGAATGAAGGTCGGATTAAAGTTGTCGTGTTTTCATAATATAATATAATGAATGAGATCTGTTAAAAATTCTGGCTCTAGCTTTAAGCTTCATGCGTCCTATATTAGTTGGAGTAATGTCCGTAGCTATTTTATTTTGCAAGGAAATTTAAAGTGATATCAAAGAATCGGTATCGGCAAATAATAAAAACTTCATTAATCACCGTTTTATGCAGCAGGGTATTTTAAATCCATAGTTTCAAGTGTTATTGTTAAAGTTTCCACATTAAGTTTTTACGTTCAGGGGAATATGCTTAGCAAACAGCGGTTGTTTACATAGAATTCAGATCGCGCTTTAGCTTAAATTATACAGTCGTGAATCCTGCCAACTGAATTTCGTATACCAATGTTCTTGTAATGTAGTAATAGTTCGAAATTTTGTCCTAATTTTTGCTTTGCCCGAAAACTTTAACGTCGAAACTAACATTGAGCTCAATACATGTGAGCAATAATGGCATCTGTTAGAAATATTTTGTGCAATAGTATCATGGAAGTTTTTAATGCAATTGGTTGCATTAATAGAAAATGTTAGGACAATGCATTCCAATGTGTCTGTTATGGTATGGAACAGAATAAATATCTTTTATTGAAGAGAAATAAATATAATAATTTAATAAATATTTTTTCGTTTCAGTTCCACAGATGATTCAGAAGGTATAACCTTAAGAATAATAAAAAGAGAACTTAAATATAAATAGGTCTAAATACCATTACTTACCAAACTATTATTTTCTTACGATTATTTATCTATTTTTATTATATCACATTACAGGGCGCATTAAGAGATTAAGTATGAATTTATTTATAATTAACATTATATACAATATGTAAAAATATTTTAACTGTGGATAGGCCACGCAACAGTTTCAGCTGTTGCTCGAATGGGCAGGTTCGTCCAGGGACGCACCTCACCCTCAAAGAAATCCGGCGTAAAGTGTGAGTTATTAAGATTTCGCCTGGTGAGTGAGGTAATCGGGGGCCCACGTTTTTAAAGGTTATCAAAGTATCTGCAAGCCCCTCAGGTGCTGTAGATTTACATGGGTGGTGGTAAACACTTAACATCAGGTGGACCACCTGCACGATTGACAACTTTTCACGTAAAAAAGAGAAACATAATGGAGATGTAAACTTATTTCTCGAATAGTTTCGCGACCCAAATATGTCCAAAGGCAAATATAGACACAGCCCGTTACATATTATATTTTTATGAGATTTATTTTTAACTCAGTAACAAAACTCAATTACACTTAAACGCGACATGTGACTGAAATTGATTTATTAACGTTGATCCCCGTAGCAAAGACCTCACCGCAGTAACATGGGGCTTTGTAGACAGTCTACAGCTACGAGCCGTAGCGCGCTACGGCTGTCCCCCAATAAATCTCGCTAGCAATATTAGACGCCTCGATATCACAATAACCCGTTGCCGCAACCGTGTCATCGCTTGACTTCCCACTGCCAACTATAAGATCCACTCAAATTGAAATTATTATAATGTATTCCTAGCGCGTTTTATTGAATTCTGACGAAATGGAATATTCTACCTTTTTTTACTTTTTTCTTTCCAAAATAACTAACGAAAGGTATGTTTGGTTTTCCCTGTTATAAATAAAAGCACTTATAAGCTTAATACTCATCTTGTTGTGTTAAATGGTAATTTGTGATTTATGGTAGTAAATATGTATAGAAGATTGTTGATATTGTTACACGGTAAAACTCTTATGAGTTTATGTTTGTATCAGTTTAATATATATTTGTAAATTGTATTTCGTGTACAAATAAATTTTAAAAAAGGTAATCAGGATAAGCACAGCAATAAGTAGTCCACTTTTTATTATGAATACCCTGGTTCAACCCCAGTTTATCATGGTGGTCATCATGGTTCATCGTGGCTTACTTACACAAATAAAAATTAACATAAATATCTTAGAAATATAACTGTTTCAGTTTTAATTAAAATTATCGTTTACGGTACTGATGTTTGTTACTCACATGACTATACTGACTCTGTAATGTAAAATTGCTACATGATTATTACTTTATAACTAAAAAAGAATTAATTTGGCAAATTTTTGCTCAAATGCTATAAATTTCTATAGCATACAAATCAAGTTGTAACATTTTATGAAAGTTACTAAACAATGTACGTACTTAGTAATCAATAAAATGATAATTCACAAATAATGAACACATACCACATTGGTTCAAATTGTACAAACCAACCTCTTATCTAATAAATCCAGTAATAACACATTTCACAGTTGATTAAATTTCACAAATTCGTACATAGATGGATATCTAAATGCCGAATATAGGAACGAAGCGAAACACGATCTCATTATTCAAATGCACCGAAGCAAATTATGGTAATCTGGGAAACCTGTTCTGTTTCAGTAATATTAATACACAATCGTCGACAAGCCGGCTCGTCATCGGGACTGTTTTGCTCATTCGATACACACACTTAAATATTCGCAATGACCCTTATCGTATAATACGCATTTATAGTCAGGGGCAAGTAGAAATATTTTACACAATCAAAAACACTTTATTGTCGAGCTGTATTTGACGTTTCAAAAAATATGTTTTTTTAACAAAGCTTGCTTTAAAGCAACAATGTTTTTCAATGAACAGTTTTTTTTTTTTTTTATATAAAATCATCCGAAAATTGTTCAGCGCAGGAACTAGAATTTAATAAAGCAACTCTATTTCCCCCACGTCACTGTGCATTGTGACATGTTCGGTGACATGGAGCGCGGAAAACGCGCTATTATATGTACCAGCCAGCATCGCATCGTGGTCTACTTTAGATACGTCAACGGCTAATGAATAAACAAATACTTTTTATGGAACTCTGCTTTTACATTTTTATTTAAAGCCGGTTTGCACTGCGTTGAACTTCAATGTAGATTAACATTCACGTTCTTTAGTCTCAATGCTGTTGATCGTGATATAAAATGTATTATTTTCCGAGTCAGATAGCTTGTTATTTTTCATCATATGATAAATAAATGGACAATAAATTATTACGATATGGTTTAGTTCATTTAATACCTTCAATTAACGAAATGTACCCTTTCAGTATTGCCAAGTTAAGGTCGAGTAGTAGTAAATTTCGGCAAGTCTTTTCGACTTGGCGAAATTTATAATTTGATTTCATACATTTTAATATTTTTATTTCTGTGCCATCGGAAATTTAATGCGGGCTGAAGTAATTTTCCGCAAGCGTAGAGCGGAAATTACCACATAGTGTAGTGACGTGTTCGACAAACGTCACGTAGCCGGATCCGAACGCGAAGATCCTTATATCCAATTTCCGGTCGTTTTTGTTGGAAATGAGAATTAGCTGACGTGACGTGACAGAAAGCTAAATATCAATGTCGGTGTTATCGAGCAATCACCGTTCAATAGGATCGCCTGCAGACAGCTTCAGTGATTTGTACTCACTGAAGCTGTCTGCAGTACACTATTCTGACGTTGATGTACTGAAAGGTATTATGGCGGTAAAAGTCGTTAAACAAAATTAAAGTAAACTGCCTATTTATGTTCCACTGAGCAAAGGCCTCCTCCAATCCACTGAAGATAGGCAGATTTCACATATCTGCGAATTGGTTTTTTTTTTCGTAAATATGCAGGTCTTTTCACGATGTTTTCCTTTACCACTGAGAATGTCATAATTCTGCATTTAAAATTGCAATTAACGTATTCATTGGTGCCCGCACCAGAAGTAACCTACAATTCAGATAAAGAAATAATTCAGAAAACAAAACATCCACAATTAATCAAGTAGGATTTTAAACGGATGACTTAGAAATAAAAGTAATTAAGTATAATTATTAATAAGGTAAAAGTACACACAAAAAAAACTAGTTACAATACATGAAAAATATCATAGACTAAAAGCAACATATTTCTTAGTAACTTAAAATTTATGAAAAATAGTACAACTCAAGTACAACAAATTAAGTCTACATTCAAATGAGTTATGAAAATAGACTTCAAGTGCCATCTAACTACAGTTCACATTTTTTTTTCTGAAACTACTCTCAATTTTATGACGTTATTCTGTCCACTCGAAAGTTGTCGAGAGAGTTGAAAGAGGTGTTTTTTTTTTTTTTTCATTTAATACACTTCGGCTGGTGAGATTTGGTCGTCGAGAGGCTCGTCGGTGTCACTCGCGGGTTCAGCGGAGCGCGCGTAACGATGCCGCTACCAGCTCCTCCGAGCTTCACGCCACTGCCGAGGGCCGCACTCGACACACCGATATTTTACATTCTGTCTCCATTTCAAAACTCGTTCCGCGTGTTTCGAAACCAAATTGTTGGCGGAGCTAGTTTGTTTTAGCGACTGAAATAAGTGGAATTTTTTCTTCTCCCATTTTTTCGTTCTCATCGGCGAATACGATGAAATTATCGTTCAGAAAATAGTCCTTTTGAGCTTAGTAACGCTTCTCATAATATCGCCTGCCATGTTCTCTTGAGGTGAAACTCTCTAAAACTTGGACAGACAGTCCCTACGTTATATTAAAGGGCCGTGATAGCACAGTGTCCGGGCGCTCGCATTTAATTAGATATACTCGAGCACCCTGAGTTCGATCCCCGGTGCCAGCACCAATGAAATTATTAATTTTAAGTGCTGACGTATCACGTGCTTCGCGGTGAGGGAAAATACCGTAAGGACACCTGCAAATTTTCGAAATAATAACAAAAAAAAAATATTTAAAAGATATGTCAAGTCCACCAATTCAGCAGTGGGGTCGCGTGGTGGACTATGCTCTAATGCCCTCTGTATAGACGAGGCCTTTGCCCACCAGTTGGATATAGGCTGTTTACTTTACTCTACTTTTACTTAATTTTTATATAAATATAATTCTTATTAATTTAGCATTCCATTGAATACCAAGCTTACTCTAAACATTACTTTTTAGTACAATCATACATTAGCCGACCCCCTTTCGTTTCAATCTACGCTCGGATGCAAATACGAGATTCCTTTGCCTCTGTAGGTTATGCGTATCATCACAGTCACTACTGGCGCGTTTCTGTTAGATCCTAATTAAGTTTTTCATCTGATGATGTGTGCACGTAATTAATAAGCGATATGAAAAACTCGATTTAATTCAAACTCGAAACAATTTCATGCTGTAGAATCCGCATGAAATTGTTTTCCATGAAATTTATAGTATTCGAATATTATTTATAGTATTCTTCATTCGCATAAAATTTATAGTAATTTTTTTCTTTTCCGCATTAATCGAATATTTCTTTTAAAAATAATAGTTTATATAAATAAATAATAAATAATTATTAACCTTTTTATATTTTCAATTAAAAATAAAATAAAATTATTTATAACTAGTTTTATTTTTATTCTTAGTCTCTGTACTTAAGATGGAACTTAAAACGTTTACATAAATTAGGTAGAAGATAAAAAATTTAATAATATTTTCTTATTACCTTCTACCTCTTAGGAAGCAGTTTAATTCCGAAGTTATGAAACCATAAAGCGTTATATACGACAATTAGCTCTCAACTAACATTAAATAAGTTTATTTGCGAAATATCGCAAACAAACTTATTTAATGGTTTTGCATGTCTACCTGTAAATATAACTGGTACGGTTGGAGAGCATAGAACATTAGATCATCCTAGAATTTGTGTTTCGCAAATGTAATCCTTATTTAATAAAACGGCCAAATGCGAGTCGAACTCGCGCATGAAGGGTTCCGTACCATTATCTATAAAAACAGGGAAAAAATCATGTCTGTTGTATTGGAGCTCCACTTAAATATTTTTTTATTCTGTTTTTTAGTATTTTTTTTTATACCGTCAACGGAAATACATTATCTGTGAAAATTTCAACTGTCTAACTATCACGGTTCATGAGATAAAGCCGGGTGACAGACGGACAGACAGATAGCGAAATTTTAGTTTTAGGGTCCCATTTTATCCTTTGGGTACGGAACCCTAAAAATAGAGCAACTTATTTTTAATGCTTTATTGTTTCGTGATTTATTTATTTAAATAAAAGTACGGAGTTTGTGTCGTTCAATTTCAAACATATTACACATCCCATGGACACGGGTTTACCATTAAGATATCTTACACCCCAATGTGATATTTAACCCGGACTACATGAATTTTTTTCAACAATTTGTTTATCAGATCTACGCAGTACGTTTTGCTTGGATTTGATTTCATCAATTATACGGCCCCAATCAGGTGATAATTAATCCTCCATCATCTTGTCTATTGAATATAAAAGGTTTTTTTATATCAATAGCCACACAAATCACGCCTGAAAGTCGATGTTCCTTTGCTATGCGGTATAATTTCTAGTTTTTCGAATCTATATAATTATTATAATAACTTACTGTCATTACTATTATTTAAACTTATTACTATTATTATTTCTCGCTCAAATATGTCTAACTTCACGAAATCACGGTGTTGGGGCTAACTCCTAACACCGGATATGATTTTATAAATGATAATAGTACTGATAAGAACACTTTATTACTAAATTGATACAGTTAAAATGATAATGATACTATGATATGATATTTATTTTTTATTTTATTTTTTTAAAAGGCCTATCAACAACTGTTTACACTATATCTGAATAATAAAAAAGAAAAGAAACAATAAGTACTTGTATAAGTGTAACAATAACTTAAAGATAAGCACAGCAAGTACAGTTGAACATCATAACAATAGAAATAAAATTAAAACTATAAATAATGAAATAGTAAAAAAAATAAAAAATAAAAATGTGGCTTAAAATAAACAGTTGTAAAATGAGTTAAATTAAATTATGGCATGCTCGGTATGTTTATTACATAAGGTAAAAATATATATTCAAATTTTAAAGAGTGATGAGGTATACATTATTTTACAAACTTTGGCTATTGAGTCAACATGAAAATCTATTTGATCGCTAAAAAGATTAGTTATTTTGCAGAATTTAATATAAGGGGAATTACTTCCCAGCACTGTTCTTCTTAGTGGTGGACAAAGTGGTGTAATAGGTTTGCGAGGGATTCTTATAGGTACTCGAAATTTAAGCAAATTCAATAGTTGTGGGCTATCAATTTTGTTATTTAAAAGTTTACTCACAAACTTAGCATCAAGCACTTCTCTTCTATGAGATAAAGGGTATACCTTGAAATAATTAAGTCTTTCTTCATAAGATCGTAGTTTTCTTGATTTGCCCTCAGAAAACGCTAAATGCCACATAAACCGTTTTTGAACTCTTTCTATACGTAATGAGTGCGTCGCGTAATGAGGCCGCCAGACTACACTACAGTATTCAAGGATACTTCGGACTAGGCTATTGTAAAGCAATAATTTAGTTTTGGAATTGCGAAAGGAATGACAATTTCTTACGATAAATCCTAACATTTTTGATGCTTTTTTTGTTATATTTTCTAAATGTGCATTAAACGTTAATTTACTATCATAAATTACTCCGAGATCACGTACAGTGTCTACTTCTTGGATTGCTGTATTGTTTATGCGGTATATACTATTTATAAGTTTGCGGTTGCGAGAAAACTTGATATGTAGACACTTTTCTGTATTGAGGTGCATTTTATTGTTGGTGCACCAATTAACAAGCCTATTTAAGTCATTTTGTAGGAGTACTGCATCGTTCTGTGATTTGATTACTTTAATAAATTTTAAGTCATCGGCAAACATATAGACTTTCGAATGATGAAAGCAGTTCGGGATATCATTTATGAAAAAGTTGAAAAGTATGGGTCCAAGATGTGAGCCCTGAGGCACACCTGAGGCAATGGCTCGAGATATGGATTTGAATCCATTTGCAACGACAAAAAATGACCTGTATGATAGATATGACTCAACCCATTTTAATAAAGAACCTAAGACGCCATAGGTACGCAATTTACTAATAAGAATATTGTGAGAAACCTTATCAAACGCTTTGCTAAAGTCAGTGTAAATAACATCAGCTTGACATCCAGAGTCAATGGTTTCAGCTAAAGTCTCGGTAAAATGTACTAGATTTGTACTCGTAGAACGTGATTTAACGAACCCGTGTTGGAAATCACTTAAGAAAAATTTCAAGTGATCCTGCAGGTAGGGACAAATGAGAGATTCGAAAATTTTTGAAAAGCAGGATAGAATTGATATTGGTCTGTAATTTCCTACGAAATCTTCGCTATTTGATTTGTGAATTGGTACCACTTTAGCAATTTTCCATTCTGAAGGAAATGTACCACTGACAAGTGATTTGTTAAAAATATATGTGAGTGGAAGGACAATTTCAGAAGCAGTTTTGACAATAAAGATGGGTGGAATTTCATCGGGTCCAGCTCCTTTATTACAGTCTAAATTTTGTAGTGTCTTAAGCAATACGTTACGGTCTATGGTAGGGACTTTAAGGGTCAAACTAGTATAATCTGGGTCACGTAGATATTTTAATTCGTTCTTTCCATCTAGGTTGCTGTCTGGTCTATAAACTGATGAAAAGTGTGAAGCAAACATTTCACAAACCTCCGCTGCGTCTGATGTTGAAGTTGAGCCATCAGTCAACGTTGCAGGATACGAACTGGAACCACCTCTTTTTGCTTTAATAAATGACCAGAATAATTTGGGATTGTGATTTATGTTTGCTTCAACCCTTTTCATATATTCATTATAAAGTAACTTTGCCATTTTATCACAACGTTTCCTTACAAGTTTCAATTCGATTGCATCAAGGGGATTTCCATATATATTATAACGTTTTCTTATTTTATTTTTCTCACGTAATATTCTAATTAGTTTCCTACTAAACCACGGCGGATATTTATTATTTTTACGTTTACAGGTAGGTACAAACTTTCCAATAGCCAAGTAAATTATTTCGTATAAAATCCTGAGCATATCATTTACATCACTTTGCCCATTAAATAGTGCTACCCAGTCATGTTCCCTTAAAAACTTACAAATTTATGATAATTAGGTATGATATTTTGAGAACGCGTGTTTTGCTTGATGACCGAACGTGAACTGATTGATTGTCGCGGTATATTTTAATGCTTACAACGTATTGATGGACTTTAGGTAAAAAGTGCAAACAAAGCTGTTTGGTTCAATATTGAACCGAACACACGGGAAGAGTAGGTGAGCGATCAGGCGGTTCACCTAATGTAAAGTGATTACGCCGCCCATAGACATCTGCCCGAGCATATGCAAAGGCCTCCTTTGTAAAGAGGGTATCAAGGCAAGTACAACAAGCGACCCCTCTGCGGATTGGCGGACTTCACATATTTTCGAAATATTATTTATTATTATTTCGAAGATATGCAGGTTTCCTCACGATGTTTTCCTTCACCGCCGAGCACGTGATAATTCAGCACCTTAAATTAACAATTTCATTGGCGCTGGCACCAGGGATCGGATAACTTTTTAAAATTGTATTACATTTTCTTTAAACATCAATATTTACAGAGTTATTAAATTTTACAAAACAAACATTTTTATAACATCCTTACGTATAAAACTGTAACGTAAAGTTCATTTGTAAAGGTCACTAAGCATATGAATGGGTTGAATGAATTTAAAAGAGATAAAACATACTGTTAGAAGGAGAGATTTGTAATGCGACGTTGTGGTAACGAATGAAAAAGTCTCTGAATGTAAGAATCAGTCAGTTGTAAGTTGTATAGGATGTTACAATTTTTTTTTATTTAATTAGTTTGTTTGAGAAATATTTTTTTTAATTATGGATTTTTTAACGTTTTATATTTTTTATAATTATTGGTAAGTAGCGTTAGACGTGTGTTTATTTATTGTCGCGGTTGTAACGACACGCTGTTATATATATTATAAGTTTAACAATAATAGTTTCTGATAGCTTTTTAATAATTGATTTGATTAAATAAATATTGTAGCAAAAAAAACTTAAAATAATACTAGTAAACCATAATTTCAAACATTAACAATTAACTTCAACCTAAGCATAATTTATTAAAATATTCATTAAAGAAGTCCCAAGAAACCTTAAAAGTTGCTTATTATGCAAAGTATGATTGACATCAATTAAATTACGGACGAACTTAAAACTTCTATTTAACTATATAAGTCACAGGCGAGAGAAATAAACTTATTGCTTTGAAAAAATAAAAATATGAGACACGGAGGTAAAGTTATGATGGAATTATACAAAATGAAATACGTAACGAGCAATAACACAAGAAAGACACGACGTCTTGATACACAGAGAATTTGTGAAGTTCCGCGAGGTTCGGTTAAAGTCGGCATTGGTCGGTTAATGTGCTAAGGGTAGAAAAGTTTCAGGTAAGCGTCTTCTTGGGGAACGTGAGCAGCCTACCTTATATTAGCTACATGATGTTCGCATGCTTTGCTCACACTGAAAAGATCTCCCACAACTATTCGCACCAAGCAACGAAAAATTTTCTGCACTTCTAACAATTATCTTTTACTTCACGTTAACAAAAATCATATACCTATGTATGATTTTACAATACGCGCGATGTATTTAAACTCTACCCTAATTATATGTTTTGTTACATAAACCGTGATGAGAGAGTCCGGACGCTCACTTTTAATTTCTAATTCAGTATAATCGAGCGACTAGAGTTAAAATCCCGGTGCCGGCAACAATGAATTCTTAAATGTAATTTTAAGTGCCGACTTATCACATGCTCAGCGGTAAAGGAAAATATCGTGAAAAACTTGCATATTGTCAAAATAAAAAATAAATATTTGGAAGATATACGAAGTCTGCCAATCCGTAGTGGAGTCGCGTGGTGGACTATACCCAATACCCTCTGTACAGAGGACTTTACTCAGCAGTGCAAAGCATATATGGGGACTTAAGTACATATAGTGGAACATGATGTAACAACTTTACGTTACTTTTTTGTTTATCTGTATTAGTACTGTAAATACTGTAATGTGCTATCATTTTTTTACATATCTGATTGCGTATCATTATTGGCTATTCATCAGCGTGAATACAATAACATACATTTCAAAATACAATTATAAGAATCAAAGAAATACTTGAAAAGTTACCTAAATTCCTTTTGTAACCGTGAGGTTGATATACGTAAAAATCAGAGATCTACATAGTGTACGTATATTACTAACGCGCCGCAACTCCCAGTCTTGGGACCTGCTGAAGATGAAAATATAATAATAGAGGCGCATCAAACGTGATGTTATTAAGGGGTTCCGTGACTGGGGTTGCGATGGCGTGGCTGGGCGGACGGAGGCGCGCGGGGCGGGCGGCGCGCACGCACCACGCGTGCATCGAATACCAACCCATTCGCATTCAAAATCAACTCTTCGCGACATTCTTTGCAACATTACGTATCAGTAAATCCGGCGGAACGTATACTTCGAATTTGTTTCACATTTTTTTTAACCATCAATGCGAGGAAAGAAGTTTAGAGGTTTTACTAGAATAGCCTTCTATCCACAAATTGTAATTAAAAGTATATTATACAACATCGCTTAAGAGGTATCTTAAATTAAAGTTTAAAGTTATTAATTCGGAGAAAAGTTATTTTTTAAAGAAGTTTCAGATTTTCTCCAAAGTTAACTACGAGTTTTAAAATTTTACTTTTTTGATTTATTAATAAGATATGTATTCATGTGAAATAGTTATAAAAACAATACAAAGAGACAAAGACAAAGATTTATTTTTATTGCGTTAAAGTTCCTTAATTACAACTCTCCAGTATAACACATTTTGTAAAGAGGCTGCATTTTGTGCCCGTTCGCGTTCTCAAGGTGATTTCTTCTGTTGGCCGTAAAGAGTGAAATACTTTTATTTGTTGCGGAAGAGTAGCAACGCCCGACGGCGCCTAATCAAGGAGTTGGCCGGGACCCGCGCCGCTAACGAACAGGTGCACCTATAAATACTTTCCGAGGCGATTGCTCCAGGCTTTAATCAGCGCCGCGGCACCACTTTACCGCGTTTCATTGACTCCCGCCTGACCTGCCGCCGCCGATTGGAAACCTACACTCCAGGGAAATACTGACACAAGAAATTCAATGTTCATTTTCGAATTCTTCACGACTGCGTTTTGAGAATAGGAGAAGTTACATTACATTCCTCGGCTGTGCAAAATTATCGAAACGTAATCAAAGATAACGATTTCAAGATTTCAATATTAGTATCGATATGCGATAATTTTTTCTATCGCTTAGTGGCTAGAGCATCAGGACGCGTAATGCGGAGGCTCAGGTTCAAGTCCTGGCAGAAAACTTGGTGAAAACTTTTGCTGCAGTGTTATCTACACATTTATGTGTGATACTTTTGTTCGAATTATTTTACTTTTTGCATGTTTCAAATCAAACTACTCGACTAACTTACAATGCATAATTCTGTTGCTGAGCCATGAATAAGATTTAAGTTGAATTATGAACGAGTATGACTATTCCCCGCACATCGTAGACGCACGCGCTTTGTGCCAAACTTTGACTGGATCGAATTAAAAATGAATGCAATGAGCAACTTCATAGGGATGCCGATTTTGCTTTTATTTTATGGACATCGATTGCAAATAATTTTCTGTCTTTCCTTTACAATTCTATTTGAAAACATTGTTTAACTCTTCCATAACAAAGCAACCTATATTTGTTTATGTAACTTTAATGTCCAAAAAAAATTAAGTTAAAAATGAATCTTTGTAAACCCAACCCCGAGAATTAGGACACAGTCTCTTTTCTGAGTGAGAAGCACAATTCGGATTGAAACTTCTAATCCTAATGCTTGACTATTTTTTTTGCTATTAAATGCATTTTTTGATTATGTTGTGATTAGACAAAATATGTTTACATTCATTATTTTTCACGTAACAACCAACCCTAGATTGTTATGCATCACAGATGTTAGATAGGATGTATGTGTGGTGCTACGTCTATTATAGTTACGCCACGACTTTTCAATACGCTGTAGAGTCACTGCGGCTTTTAATTGGATTCCCGTCGCTTCTCACGATTTGTCCTCGCGATTCAACCTCAAAAATGAACAACCCAACGAATCTGCTCCCACTAATTAAATTATCCAATTACCATTTAAATTACTGACATCCAGTTGCGAAATAGATTGTCTGAAACTAAATAACATGTTATTTATTACATGTCGGATTTTTTTTTAATTAACCTTAATTAAGCTGGACAATCGTGTCTTTAGACTACTTTTCAACTTTATTGAATTACTTAGACTGGTATCAATATAAAAATCAAAAATTTTTAAAATGTTTTATTATAAGTTGAAATGTATCGTACCTAATGAATGGCAATAAATCATCAAAGCAATCCTTAACTTCCCAAGTAAATTGATATAAAGTTGTGCAATCCTACGTGCATTGGTATTCAGAGGGTACGTCCATATAACAGAGAAACGAAAGATTTTAATGAAAGCCTGCCATCTTGGGATTAACATGGAGCTGATTACACGATCCCAATCAAAAAAAATTTTTGTAATTAAAGGTCTTACATAATCTACCAATTTGTTACATTTTCAGAGAAAAAGTAATGGTAATTTTTTCAAACAAACTTAGCGTCTCTGGTAGGAATTTCCGTCATAAATTTAGTACAACTATGCGGTTGGTAAAGTCAATTTATTTTAAAACGACATTCACAAATAATAAAAACACAGAATTCTTTTATAATTGGTAGATAAGTTCGATTACAGTTATTTATCTTTTCAATATCAATAGAATTAAAAAGATTCCAGTCTACATTAAATAAATTTAACGTTCCGTTTGTAAATAATACTCTTACTAGATTTTCTCATTTTTTCTGACATTTTTATATAAATTAGATCATCTAGAAAAATATGTACATAATATGAGCTCTATAAATATGCGCACCGCAGCACACTTGTGCTGCCAGTGATCGCAACAGCTGGTTCACTTAAGTACTTCTACTTGTGCGGCCGACCGCCTCTCGCTCCTTAATTATTTGCTCTGACCCTATTTCATTATAAATTGGCAGTCATCTTCGGCAAATGCAACGTTTATTTTATGTAAAAGTTAGGAGTAATCATCCATAACTTATTCGTTTATAAACGTTTCAGCGAGAACTCATAACCAATTACTCATATTAATTTATATTCAGTATTCAAAATGAACGGACATGTTGAAGATAATAAAGTAGGTAGTTGATATTAAAAATGCATATTTTTATACACGTATAATAATAAACAGCAAGCCACCCAGTCCCCAGTAGCGGACCAGATCTGTGGCTCCGCCGCTCACCACGTTGGAGCCGCTCACGACGTCAAAGAGAACGGCGTATCGCAATACCGACACTCTTCTCCCCCCACGGCCCCACTACTACTGCATCAGCGCTGCAGCCCCGCCGAGTCGCGGAGGATAGGAAGAGTGCCCAAACGCAATAACGACACTCCTCTTCCTCCGCGACTCTCTCTCGGTCGCAGAGGACAAGGAGAGTGGCTCCTCCTCTACCACCCTCGACCTGCCCACTGCACCCTCCAACATGCATCCAGGTTGGAATTATTGAGCCCACTCGGAGCGGTCCTCTTGGGCCGGCCTTGTGTGGGTTCCTCTTGGCTTCGCCGGGGGTGACCAAGCCGCATCTACTAAGCCTCTCCGCCACGACAAGGCGGGAACCCGGTCGAAGGGGGTGTGTAACCGTCTTTACTATAAAAACACACGGGCCCCATTCCCAGTTGTTCTGTTGACAAATGCTTATTGATATAGCGGCAACAGAAATTCATCAGTCCAAAAAACAGATTAAAAAATTATTTAAGGGGGGCTCCGGGCTCGCATACAACAGACATGATTTTTTGCCGTTTTTATAGATAATGTAATGCATAATGTTTTTGTAGTACGGAACCCTTCGTGCGCGAGTCCGACTCGCACTTGGCTGGTTTTTATATACGTATACATTTATTTACATATTCTTCTGTTCGTTTTCCAAATACAACATAAGATTTATGTAATTTACATGTATTATTTCATGTTTATTCCTTATTTAATTATAGCGTATTAGTTATTTCTGGTAACTAAATCAAAATTTTCTTTTCTAGAATAATTTTATATTATTGTGCAGATATGCACGAAAAGTAAATTGTCGAAAACTTTTCGGCGCTGCCAGAATTCGAACCTGGGTCTTTTATCTAACGCGCCCAGATGCTCTAGCCACATACACATTTAAAATTTCCAACACTGAAAACAATTATTCCGCAGTTCCTCTATTACAATTTTATCTTTTGAATTCTCTTTTCCCTTTTTTTCTAATAATTATGGAACTAATAATATGTAACTAGTACTACTTGTCACTAATTATAGAAAATTCAAGTAGAAATTGTCACATGAATTCACTCGCTACAATCTAAACTTCCCCTCATTCAATTTTATAAAATCTGATCATATTCAATATTTTCCAATTCCCAAAGTTTTCAAAATTAGACAGTTGTGTATACGAAGGTATCCTCCAAACGTTGCAACTCGATAACAGCGATCCCCTGAGCTCATTAAATTTGGTTATTTGTTTAGGACCGCGACTTAAGCAACAGCAGGTATAAGATATTATGGATTTTGTGGTTTAAAATATTAAAGGACCTATTTTGCCTCACCGCACTTATAACAACGACAAACAGTTATTTTAGCAATCTTTGGATGTTGTCAAAATTTTATGAAACGTTTGTTTCTAAATTAAAAATTAGATGTAAATCTTGAACTGCATAATCATCAAAAGGTAATAATGATTAACACACATACATACTATAAATATTTCAAAATGAGTATGAAAAGTTAAACAGCAATAAACACATTCAATCTTATTCAACTTTAAATCAAAGACCCAAAAACTACATATAATTGCAACTGAAAACTTCATCAGTTGCTCCGCACCAACTTCCTCAAAATGTTTTTTTTTATTTATACAACACGTCTTAAACTCGTCCGAATAAACTTTGTGCCCAACTCCACGCTATTGACACATCAATTGATTTTTACAACAAATATAAAATATGGTTTACGCGAGACAACCATTCGGTGAGCAGACACGGGAACGAATTCGATGAATTTAAACCGTGCTACGCCAAATGTCGTCAGATCACAATTGCAATGCACGTTGACTCGGGGAAAATTTTCATTGCAAATTCCGTCACCGTGCTCCATACACGGCAGACCTACTCCACAAACAGTCGCGTTATGGATGTCAAACTTAAACGAACCGAAATCGACCCCCACTGCAAACTGAACGTACAAATGTACATACATTGCATATAGGGATGTCCCGGAAAAATCGCTATTGCTGAATTTCGCAATACCAAATATTTATCCC